AAAAAAAAAAAAAAAAAAATCAAGAGTGACTGCGAAAGAAAAGACTGTAATTTCTGTGAAAGGAAATTTCTACGAAGAGTTTAATAGTTTAAGGAATGTTAGACCACACACACACACAAAAAGGCACTTTGTATAGAAACTAAGTACTAATTCATAAGACTTGGGAGAAAACTACCTTAAGGTTTAAAGACATTTATTTCCTCCCCTACTTTAGGAGTTCCAAAACCCTGGAAGTAGTGAAGCAGAAATGTTGGTTATGACATAAACTATGTAAAAACTTCATCTGGACTCATATTGGACACCAATGAAAAGTGCTAATTTCAAAGAATGTACTTTCTTTAAGTTCTTCAAAGACTAAATGTTAAAAATTCACGTACCTAAAACCACTTGTACAAGTTTGATTTAGCCGACTAAAACCAAGAAGTCCAAGAGGGAAGAGATCTTAGATCAGAAACACAACAAAATCTCAGAAATATATGCTACTGCTGCTTTTAACATTTTATTTCATGAATTTTTAGAACATTCTATAGAAGTAACCTATAATACACATAATGTTCTATACTATTCAACTACAAGTAAAAGTCTAGTATGATGCTTTCCAAAATGACAGCTCTCATGACTATGAACTAAAGCTTGGAAAGGGTCACCCCTTAGTTTCCTGTTGTTCCACTCTTGTTATACAAGAAACAGGATCAAATGCCTCAGCATTAAGTACCTGAGTCCTCTGATAAGTGTCCCTTAAATAACCTAGGAAAATATTTCCAATTTACTGAAAATACACACAAAACCCAAAAACCCACATTTTAAAACAATCCAAGATAGATGAATACAGACTATGAACTCAGCCTGAGCCAGTGTATCAATTCAAGGTGTTTCATTTCTGCTGCTAGGACCTGGCCCCACTGCTGTACAGGATCTAACGGAATTCTCCACTGTCTGGCTGGATCAAGCAGATAATGACCACTTCTAAAGGACACATTATCTTGCAGCTCTACCATGGTAGTTTATTTCCATAAAATAATTTTTAGATAAATCAAGCTCATTCCCACCAATCTTATATTTGTCTTTCATTATTAATGGGACTGTTTTGTCTTTAACAACTAGATAACAATATACCAAAGAAGAAGGAAAAAAAGCACATATGGAGACTAAACAAGAGCAGTTCTTAATTTAAATGCCTGTTTGTCCAGTCAGAAATACTCTGGCCAGAGAAGACAGAGCTTGGTTTGTTACTCTATCTCATTAGTCCATATAAGTACAGGAATTGAGAGTCAGGTTTAGAAACTTCTGTACGACTTGACAGAGAAAGCTTTTGTCGTTGAATCTAATAATTAAAAAATGGAGCTTTTTTAGACAAAAACACTTCTACCATAATGTACATCTTATATACTCCTGACTTATCTTTCTTCTTTGGCACATCAGTAAGGTAAGTGAACACACACCTAGGTCAGAATAGGAAAAATTATTCATTATAAGGATCAAAGAATTAGAACCGCAAGAAAATGTAGCAGACCATCTAACTTGCCTAAAGGCAGGGAAAGATTTCTGCCTAAACTTCCCTGGACCTTCTCCCTCTTTCTTAAAGATCTCCAAAGTCCTCCCTGTAGCCATTGCTGTGTTTACCCAAAAGATGAAGGCAATTTTCTTTATATCAAACAAAACCTGTTTTATTTAAACTGAGAGGGTAGCTTTTAAGTAAACCTGGCAACAGAGCTGGGGTTGACCTCTACTCTACCAGATGCATCTTGAATTATTATGGCCCTTATCATTTTATGACAAATGAACTAAAAGTAGCAGCAGTCAGGAACACAGAAAAATCATGTGGCAAAATTGATGACCACTAAAAAAAAAAAAAGGAAGCTCTTATACTATACAATTCAATGTGCTATTTACCTGAACAATCTATAACCAACTGAGCTGGGGGGGTTACTAATTATTAGCAGGACAAATGACACACGTTCATCAGGGCCCTCATATGCTTCTCCAGGCTCCCCAAATTTCTAATTATACCCATTAGCCAAAATTTGTGGATAAGATTAGCCCATAAAGAAACACTGTTTGAGAGGACAGAAGAGGAATGCGGTTCTTAAACATTTCTGTTTCACTGGAAGACCGCATCACAAAATGTGATGGTAGGAAGAGGCCATGAAGCACTTCTTCCTTCTGGACCAGAGGGCCCTCTGACTGCTGCTTTTCACTGAGTCAACTTTAACCTAATTACTACTGCCTGACACTCGTTAACCTTTCATTATACTCATCAGCACTTCTCTGGCACTTGTTAAAGAAGTGCCAATAAATACTTCAAAGTTTTAAAATAATTAAATAAATGATTATAGCTCATTTCCACATATAATTGGTAATATGGATGCTAACTGAAAATTTACATCTACCCCCTAAATCATCATTTACAAGATCACAGGGCTACCGATGTCTTGCTGAATAAGCACCTCCATATAAAATCAAATAAGCTATTTGTAAATTAAATGCTGTGGGCTGAGCTTTAAATGCCAGAACCTTTTACTAAAAAAACTCTCATTAAGTGTAACAAATACCAACCTGATTAATGTACATATATTTGTAAAGGATTCTCCGGTAACTTCTCCTTTCTTGTACATTTCTAGCATTGCTCTCACTGCTGGCCAATACCAATGTGGCCACGTTTGCTAATTTTCCAGTTTCGTTTTTCTTTATCTCTCTACCCAGAGAATGCGGGCACTCAGGGCAAAGCTGGGTTTCACTCCCCAATAGATCGAAATTCCAATCTATTCTAAAACCATTTACAGAACCAGAAATTTTGGTACTTCTTCAGAAGTACTCACCATGAATGTCACCTTCTCCCTGAAAAAGAAAAAGATCAACAAATTGCTTTAGATTTTAATTTTGCAACAGACAAATAAAGCAGTCACAGTTCAGAGAGGCTATCTATTTGAAACCAAATGTGAAGTTTTATTTTGATGCAGTCAAGTACAGGTCAGGTTGTATTACAATAAGCAACTTTATTCAACCTGGGACAATGCTATACAAAAATACTGCTCACAAACTGCCCCAGTGCCAGTAACACACCCAAAACACCAAAAAAACCTTAACATTTATGCTGATGGCCTAATATCAATTAGCATTTCAGAGGATCTTTTATGCAAATAGGAAACTGGTAAATTTATCCTTCCATTCTCACTCTCCTTTCTCCTTATCTAGCTGTTGAAGGTCTTCTATCAATTCCAAAGCCCCTTCTACAGGTCTCCCTACATTCAGACGGCCGATGCCTCCATGTGCTCTGAGGTCCCTACTGAAGAAGACACCCTACCACGCTTTCCAGACACACACCAGGGGGCTTGGGGACCGCACTCATCTGTATATAACTGATGGTAATGCCCATGTGCTGCAGTCTCCTGGAGTTCAGCTCAAAACAACCAGGCAACATTTGCCAACAACTAAAACAGTCCTTGAACTCAGAAATGCTATTATATATGAGATATATAGGTAGTGAGTGTGATCCAAAAGTTCCAAAATCAATACTGAAGGCTACAGTCTAATCCTCATGGTAGAAGAGATATCTGAACAGACCAAGAGCACATTAACTAACTTATCTGTCTTTACTCACTTTATTTATCAATCTACCATCACCAGTATGGCCCAGTCCCTTTCCTAATTACATCTATGTAAAACTCAAGTGGCAGAACTAAAGCTCTTAGTACAATAGGGGGAATTTAATTTCCAAACTCTATTAACCTCAAAGCCTTTTCCCCCATGTTGTCATTGTCACACTGACCTTCAGATCTAAGAAGTCTCCAGAGTTTGCTTCAGAAGAATTCCTTCTCTGCAGTCCAGATGACTCAGAATCTTCTCTGCCACCAGTAGATTTGGCACCTGAATAAAAATATACTTTCTTGAAGAATACAATAGAAAGACCTAAAGCAAATGCTTTTTTTAGTAAGTGATATATTTTTTGTGTGTGTGAGGGAGATCAGCCCTGAGCTAACATCCATGCTAATCCTCCTCTTTTTGCTGAGGAAGACCAGCTCTAAGCTAACATCTATTGCCAATCCTCCTCCTTTTTTTCTTCTCCAAAGCCCCAGCAGATAGTTGTATGTCATAGCTGCACATCCTTCTAGTTGCTGTATATGGGACGTGGCCTCAGCATGGCCAGAGAAGCAGTGTGTTGGTGCGCGCCCGGGATCCGAACCCGGGCCGCCAGCAGCGGAGCGCGCGCACTTAACCGCTAAGCCACCAGGCCAGCCCTAGTAAGTGATATTATGTATTAGTCTCATGTAATAAAATGAGGAAACAGTGTTAGGGAGGTTAAGCAATGGCTTAAAAATTCTACAGAAGGACTAATAACACAATCTCACGTCAGGCCTTATTCTGATCCAGCACAGAGACTCTCAGTACTTCTCATTTCTTCGTCCCAGTCTTTCCTCCAATGACAAGCTTTAACTGTTGTTTATCTTATGATTAAGCTAGATTTTGCTGATCAGCACAAAACCAGCTATGGTTGTTCATGCTGGGTCCATCCCTTTCTTTGACCAGTGATCACAGAAAAGCCATACCTGCTGACTTGGCCCACGAAGGGGGATTTTCCTCAGGTGTCCCAAAGATGCTAGAGGCCATTTTGTTCCTCCTCACTGGTTGTTCTGTTGGTTCATCAAAGCCTAATGAAAAATTGGATCCACCACCTGGAGGTCGCAAAACCCTAGGAATAACAGCAAAACATCAATTTCGGATCATCCCAAAACATTTCTTGGCATAAAGATCATCCATCACACAAGGCACCTGAAAGTTATCACAACAGCCTGGTTGGCGTCCCCTTTTAGGAAATGGCAAAAGACCTCATGCACCTTGGGCTTAGCTAGATATATTTGCAAAGAGGTTTAGAAGCACATCTGGGCCGGCCCCGTGGCTTAGCGGTTAAGTGCACGGGCTCCGCTGCTGGCGGCCCGGGTTCGGATCCCAGGCGTGCACGGACGCACCGCTTCTCCGGCCATGCTGAGGCCGTGTCCCACATACAGCAACTAGAAGGATGTGCAGCTATGACATACAACTATCTGCTGGGGCTTTGGAGGGAAAAAATAAATAAATAAAATCTTTAAAAAATAATAATAAAAAAAGAAGCACATCTTGTTATTTATTCAAAAAGCATTTCCAGGGGCCAGCCCTGTGGCGTAGCGGTTAAGTGCGTGCGCTCTGCTGCTGGCGGCCCGGGTTCGGATCCTTGGCGTGCACCGATGCACCGTTTGTCAGGCCATGCTGTGGCGGCGTCCCATATAAACTGGAGGAAGATGGGCACAGATGTTAGCCCAGGGCCGGTCTTCCTCAGCAAGAAGAGGAGGATTGGCATGGATGTTAGCTCAGGGCTGATCTTCCTCACACACACACAAAGAAAAGCATTTCCATTTTTATTTTCAACAAAATAAAAAATGGAAGAATATACATATAGAAGTTAACTTGACCAATTTAGAAGCCCAAGGAAAGCTGATAATAAAGAGTCTCTCCTATCTGAAAATCACCAACAATACTCTACCTCACTAGTCTCGCTAATAACTGAGTGACTAGCCACAAGGAGAAAGTCAATATGAAAAATTAAGTGTAAGATTCCGTGGCATATTCTATACCCCTGTTCCTCTGGACACCTCTATAGGTTTTTGTTCAACAGGAAATATAGTCCTTTCACATTTCCAAATCTTCCTGCCACAGATTGACCAATTTGTCCCCTTCCTGGAAAAACTCAACATAATTTGTCCTGTCACCATTCAAAACATAGAAAATGGAGTTGGGGGGCCGGCCCAGTAGCAGAAGCGGTTAAGTGCATGCGCTCTGATGCGGCGGCCCAGGGTTCGCCAGTTCAGATCACGGGCGCACACCAACGCACTGCTTGGCAACCCATGCTGTGGCGGCGTCCCATATAAAGTGGAGGAAGATGGGCACGGATGTTAGCCTAGGGCCAGTCTTCCTCGGCCAAAAAAA